ATAATGCTGTCCCCTGAAATGTCATTTGTGCTCATTGTTGTTTATCGTCCACCATCTTCAAATAATGACTTCTACACCACATTCAAATAAAAACTTCTTAAAGCATGTGATTTCAAAACAGAAGTAATACTGCTTGGTGACCTGAATTGTAACTGGTTAGACAAGACAAGTAGGAAAGCCCTTAAGCAAATCACAGATAGTTTAGACTTAACACAAATGACAGAAGGACCAACCAGAATAACCTCATCCTCACAGACACAAATAGACTTAATATAAAGTAATAAACCTGAGAGAGTGGATGAAACATTTAATTTCATCACTGGACTATCTGACCACAACTTAATATTAATATCCAGAAAACTCACAAAGAAACGGTTCCACCACACTTACAAACCTCTGGAACAACTAAGAATACCGAAAAATGAATTTGCAAACTTTGAGCAAGCTGTGCAACAGACTGACTGGGAAAGTATGCTAACTGGGAGCAGTGTAGAAACAGACAGCCAAATGTTTGCGACCAAGCTACATGATTTAGTGGAGATGTTCTCCAGAAAAATGAAAAGTGGAAAAAAAACAAACAATGCACTTCCTTGGTTCAATACAGACATATTGAACTTGATGAAGGAAAGAGACTTTGCACTGAAAAGAGCACTGAAAACTAAATTAACTACTGACAGGCATAGGTTTACTTCATTACGTAACAAAGTAACTCAAACAATCAGAAAGGCCAAAGCCAACTTATTCATAACAATAATTAATGAGGCAAAAGGTAACACTAAAATTATTTGGAACAGATTAAAACCTAGGTCAAAAAAGCAGCTAGAACTAAAAGAGAATGGTAACCTAGTGCAAGACCCAGAACAACTTGCCATAGCTTTTAATACATATTTTATCAACTCTGTAGATGAGATGGCACAGAACTTTCCCTTGAGAGCAGAACATATTATCAAAGTCGACGAAAGTAAGATGTCCTTTTGCATTCAACCCATATAGGAATTAAAAACCAAAGCAATTACAAGGATCAGATGAGTTTTCATAGTATATATATATATATATATATATATATATATGTATATCTATATATGATATCTATATGTGTATAAACAGTGTGGAGGATTTATATGGACAGTGATATCAGATATCAAATGATATCGCAAGCATATCCGGGGTGCACACAGGACAGATGAAGCTCTCCTCTTTGCAGATGTTTTCCACCTCAAATCGGACAGCCTCCCACTCAAAAAAACGTTGCTGAAAGTTGTCTGCTGAGAGCTTCCCAGACTATTTCCAAAAAAGAAATGAACCATTAATTCAGTGAAGAAAGTATGCAACTAACATCTTTTAAATCCACAAAACCAACAGACGATCAATATAGGATACATAAATGTAGTATTCACACGGCCAAAACGGAAAGTTCTTTGATCCATCTATGGCTCCTATTAAAAAATTACCAGACCGTGAGCATCAGGGAACCCCAATGAACTGATATATGTTTGTTTTTTTGGTTTTGTGTGTAAAATGTGGAGATGGGAGCAGTTTGTCTAAAGTGTACTTCTCTCTGCTCTGAAGAAAGATCCGGAAAAATTTAACATGGGAATCAATTGGGAGCTAGGTGGACTTTTTGTCTCTTCATGCCCTCAAGAGGCATTTTGTTTCATATTTTTTCTTAATTTTTTTTAATTTTTCAACCTAGGAGAGGTTTTCCTACGTTTTTCATGAAAATATATGTCTGAGGAGTGTAGGGTTTGGGAATTATGGCAAGTTTAAAACATTTTTGGGGGAGAATTTCAAGCACTCCTGCACTCAAGTTTTATAGCTGAAGGTCTTGTGATAATTTTAAAATTGGAATGTATGTGGAAGGAGAAGCATTTTGCGTAAGGTGTAGGAAAAGAGGATTTGAAGGCTCCTCCCATTGACTTCCATGTTAAAAAAAGAGTTTAAAAAGCTGAATATTTCAAAAAGTATAAAATCTTTTTTTAAAGTTGAAGGTTTCCCATCGATTCCTGAAAAGGCTGAATAGTTTAATATTTGAACTATGTATTTTTTGTGGGCTTGATTTTTTGTGGGCTTGATTTATACATTTATAAATTAGTGTGATGCTGATTCTTTCAGTTTTCACATGAGTTTTAAAAGTCTGTTTTTCTTTTTTCTGTTAGAGGTTAGTCTTTCCTATTTCAAGTTTGGAAGGCTGAGAGGCTGATGTATTGGGTTGCAGACGTATATGCACAGCGCAGACAAGACCCAGAGGGATTCTTGACCCATTCTCTTGCCTCTCCATTCACAAAGTGCCCTCTGAAAATGTTTTCATTCATACCTTTTTGACCCCAGTCTTTGGTTAGCCATCACCTTCACTTAAAGTCTGAAGAGGTACTCATGAAGGAGAAGGTACGCTGTAGAATCAAGAGGGGCCACTTGGCCCTTAAAGAGCCCCCCAACCTTTATAAAAGCTGAAATTGAAATAGCAAATTCTTAAAAGATTCAAAGGCTTTATTTTCATATAGCTACAGTGTGTTGTTGGCAATACAAATCTTAAATCCAAAGCTCCTTTTAACAAGTGAGATAATATATTTAAGACATTAAAGAAAAAGACATACAGTAATGCAAATATGGGGTCGAATAAAATACAGTAATAAGCAGGAATAATTTTAACATCTAAAGTCAAGATATATAAGGTAAAACACAATAAATACTGTAGAATGAAGTCCTGCATATTAATGTATAATATACGGAAATAAATATTTGCAATATAAATCAATGTAAAAAATGAATGAATGTCATTATTATTGCTATAACAACTTAACTGTTTTGCCCTTTTTTAAATGTATATGTCTCATTATGTTAAGAAAAACTATCATTAGTATAAAAATAAATCCAAAAGCCCTTTTGGGGTTTCTGACCTGCTCTATTGCAATGTTTTTCATGCTAATAATCTAAAGGGAGCATTTATACATCTTGGTTATGGAAATTATGCAACATATTACAGGATATTAGAATTTCTGTATTTATTTATTTCATAGTTATGGAGGTACAGATTGAGTTCTACTTCAGTGTTATATGTCAAAAAGTAGAATATCACCCTGTGGTCGACTCATTTAAATTATGAAACAGTTTTTTCCTGACTTACTCTGACCAGGTTAGAGGAATAGAGGAAAGTTATGCCATGTCGCTGAGCTGCCATGAGAGTGCTGCAGACAGTGTGGATGTCTGAATAAACACAATTCAGTCCTCAAACTCGACCTGTGCTGTGTTCATAATATCCCCAATGGCCAAAAAGGAAAAGATGAGAAATACTGATAATGTCAGACCGGGATAAATGAATCTAAATGCCTCTCAAAGGAAAAGATTTGGTTTTCTTAAAGTCGTGCAGTCTCAGTAGCCTGGTGAGAATTATTATTATACACAGAAATCCTGCAGTCTTTTCTTTATGATGTCTAATGCATTAGCCTGAATTGAAGTCCCTTGAATCACAATGAAAATATTTTGCTTTTTTTCTACTGCATTTCGCAAAGTCAGCTACCTCCATTTATTTCCAGTCTGCAAAAACATTAAAAGTAGGAAAGAATATTAGGAAAATATGTAGAAAACTTCATCTTAACATAAGAACCCGGACCCATTTCTACTTTTGGGGAAATTAAGGGGAATATAATTTAGAGTGAATAGACCACATACACATTTCTGACAAGTAACCCCCTTTCAAATATATGAAAAGTGACATATGTCACATGGGCTTTAATGGTAAAGTAAGTTTTATTTATAACTTAATTAATGAGGATGATTTTTTGGTTTAAATTAGTTTGAACATTCTTTGAATTGGAGAATAAAGAATATATTAACTAAATATAATTGATAACCACAACAGGTTAAATGTAATAAAGGACGTGATGTACAGTAAGCATTTTATTTCTTAAATGGCTTGAATTTTACCTTTAGCAACAATAAACAAGCCTCTGAAATGTAGCTAGTTCTGTCACATGTGTTAGCCTGGCACATGGACATCTTGGACATGTTGTTATGGGAACACAACATTACATGATCTGGCCAGGACCCACCAGACTGTTCAGTGTGTGTCACTTAGGGACTTCATGGGATACAAACAAGGCTAAAGCTGTATGAGGAACTTTCCAGAACATGTAAATGTAATGTGACACCTGTGTCACGGTGGGTCCTTATGGGTTAACATTAACATTAAATTAACTGTTCATTGATGGTGCAGCAGGCGGGTCCGAGCACAGTGGGAGGTGCACTGAGCTGCTTAAAATTACATGAAAAAAGCATGTGTCTCACAAACAAACGGTGAGTGAAAAAAGTCCTCAGAAGAGCAAGAAGCGAGGCTGAAGGAGTTGGGGTGTCAAGCGGGGGTACAGGGGACTAACACCGGGGACTAACACAGGGGACTAACACAGGGGACTAACACCGGGGTCAGGCTCCCCACATCTGTCTGAACAGGGATGCACCGGGGGCGGCAGACGCTCCGTGGATATGTCTAACTGCGCCTCCAACAGCGTTGTAAGTATAACAATATATTTTACATTTACAAAACTACGACTTCACAACACTGTTCATTTTCGCTTGTTTCCAGAAGCTAAACAAAGTAAATACAATATAAAAAAAGACAAAACCATTTTTATTTTGGAGGCTATAGGCCCATTTATTTCATTTTGTGAATTAAGAATTTCTCCACGCTGCATTTTGATACAGTGAGTGAACTAAATTATTTTCAGGTTATAAAAAGCTAGCTTTCCTATTTTGAAAACGACATTTACATTAACATTTATATTAAGGACATAAGTCTAAAGGCAAAAAGTCTTATCGGGAAAGCAGTGCTAGTGTTTCACTTTATTGGTATATTCAATGTTCTGCTATATATATATATATATATATATATATATATATATATATATATATATATATATATATATATATATATATATATTATAACCTCCTAAACATCAAACTAAATCAGTTACATACTGCAAAATAATTTTAAGTAAAGGGTATCAGCATAAAGTTGTGATTTGATATTGAATTATGCTTTTCGGTTATTATCCCGATAGGCCTATACGTTGCCTTCACTCACAAAAAAAAAGTTATTATTTATATCATTCTTCATATGAACCATATTTAGACAAGTCAACCTTTGCTGATATTTGATCACACAGTTTAATATAGGTTAACCCTAATTACACTCGTTATCCTTCGTTACAATAGCAGAATCACAGGTGAATTTCATTTCTTTAAAAATAAAAAGTGTAGGCCTACAGGTGAATACTGTGAGAACACACCGCACCGTCACTTATAAAAGCCAGACGTTGAACACACCTGCAGCCGGCTAATTACTCTTAATCATGTGCACGTGCGCGGCTCATCATAATTAGTCAGATCTCGTTCCGCTGTTAGCGTGGCCGGTGGTAGGATTTGCTAATTGTAGCACACACGTAAGCATTCACATTGTAAAGTTAATATGTGGACGAATACTGTCCTCCACTATTTAGTGTCGATATATGACAGCACATAACTACATTGAAGGGACACGAATGCTCGAAAAAGTATAAGAGAAAATGTTGTTTTGGGGTCCCCTTGTTATTTTCTTAGTGCATTGGTTAATGAGCGTGGTTGTGAACGAAATATGAAGGGGACGTTAGCCTTCTGTGTCATTGTGTCTCTCGCATCACTCAGGACTCGTTGACAGCATGTCGGAGGATGAAAGGAGACAAGCGGAGGCTGTTTTCACTCAGCTACAACAAGGAGATATTTATGTCGACACAGTAGGTGTTAACATCTAACCAATAACTTGTTTTTAATACGTTGTGAAAAGTTAAGAGGAAATGTTGAGCTCGCGTGACTGTATTCGCACTTCAAAGTGTAGCTAGCCATATGTTGCTTTAGGACTATGCTAGCAGTGTAGTTTGAAAGCAGTTTTAGGTATGAAAGTTGTACACGTTGTTACATTGTAAGATGCTCCTGCAGGGTTCCTCTGGGCCTGATGATTTTTTTGAGGAGGACTCCTACTCTCCGTCCTCCCTCTATTCGTCCTCCTCGGCCTCCTTCCCCACTGTGACCTCCCTGCAGGGGAAGACCCTGTGCACCTCCTGCGGCCTGGAGATAGTGGACAGATACCTCCTCAAGGTCAGACTGACAATTGTATGCTTGACAACACTTACAAATTGGGCCTCCTTTTAGAACAAGTGGACAGAAAAGCCTCTCATGACTTGAGGCTATCTCAGTGCCATTTGTCTAAGCTACTTGTGTTTTTTTGTATGTAGACACTTATTTCTTCAGTTTTAGTTTAAAAAAAAAATCTATTTAAGATGCTATATATTATTTATTTTAGTTACTGTCTGCAATCAATTCCATTTTAAACTGCATAAAATGCCCAGAATACTCAACTTGCAGTTAAATTGTTATTGGTTATTATTTGTGTTCTCTGTGTACATATAACCAGTACAAACCATTGTTTCATTTGGCACATATGTTGCTTTCCATTTCTAAATTACATTCCCTCGTTATGCATTATAGAAATGTAATAAAATGATTTTTGCTCTGAAATTATTATTGGTTATGAGTCCAAGCATAGAAAAAATGCATTTCCCCCATAACCTAGCCTCCATCTACATCACCGACCTCCTTCAGGAGTACACCCCCTCCCGCACCCTCCACTCTTCGTCCGTATGGACTTCTCACCGTCCCAAGCTCCCGCCTCAAAACCATGGGTGCTCGAGCTTTCAGCTGCTCGGCTCCCAGACTCTGGAACTCCCTGCCACTACATATCCGACAGTCTGATTCCATAACAACATTCAAAACCCAACTCAAAACCTACCTGTTCAAACTGGCATTTTCTTTATAAACTGTACCCTGTGTCCTTTTGTGTCCTTCTGTAGTCCATTTACTGTTGTTTGTCTTGTTTTACCCCGGCTGATATTTCACTAAATCCACTGTTTTAATTGTTCCCTATATTGCCCCTATGCCCAGTAAGGTGTCCTTGGGTGCTATGAAAGGCGCCCCCCAAATAAAATGTATTATTATTTCAGTTAAAGTGATGCATTGTTGTTAAAATCTCTTTTTTTTTTCTTCCCTATCTCAGGTGAACAACTTTTGCTGGCATGTGCACTGCCTCTCATGCAGTGTGTGCAACACGTCACTGGGGCGACACGTGAGCTGCTTCATCAAAGATAAACAGGTTTTCTGCAAACTTGATTACTTCAGGTAAGTCATCACTACAGTAACACAACTTTACCTCCAGTCACCTTTTATTAATAAGGAAGATTAATGTAATGCAATATGGACAGCAAAAAGAGACGGTATAGGAAATAATCTTTGTTTATATAAGAGCACAGACGAGGCAAAGCACAAGGTCAATGTAATTATTGGAAAAATGTAAGGTACAAGTTTTAATGTCAAGTTCATGGGAAACAGAGCAACAAAGTCAGAGAATCTCCTTTTTAAAAACTGATTGCTTGACTATTTAATATTTATATAAAGTTGTTCTAAACTCCTCAGAGGAAAATATGTCTGTCAAAAACTTTCTGGAATTCTTTTTCCTATATTCATTTTTTTTTTTTAAAGAATGTTAACACTTTAAAGGTGGGGTAGGTAAGTTTGAGAAACCGGCTCGAGATACACTTTTTGTTATATTCCATGGAATGCTCTTAACATCCCGATAGCAATGAATATCTTAAGTGCTTTGACAAAAAATCCATAAAAAAATGTCATCTGTGGAAGCCGTAATACTGTAAAAAGTACGACCAATCATTTTAGCCGGCCCGGCTAAAATAACTGGATGGCCTACCTGCCTGTCAGCCTTCCATCTGTGCACAAACTTATCTCGTGCCCTCATTGGTCATGTGCACGTTCGTGTGTGTTGGAGGAGGGGCTCTATAAGGAAGTGGCAGATTTTCTCCGGTTGTGTATTTTCAAATTCTAGCGATCTCGAGCCGGTTTCTCAAACTTACCTACCCCACCTTTAAATGTCAGATGGTTAACATAATGCCACTGCGATATGAAAAAAAGACAATTATAAGAAACATTGATTTAAATGCATATGTCTGTCTTTTAGGTATAGTTTATTATAGACTTTTTTTATTTTACTTCCAAATTTAAGAAAAACAAAATGCAATAACAGCAACAATGATCACAGATTAAAAGACACATCATACTTGTATAAAAAAAAAAGCCTATTAAGGTACAAGGTTTAAATAATTGTTCCGCCATCTGTCTCAGGAGGTACGGGACCCGCTGTGCTCGCTGTGGCCGGAACATCCACTCCAGTGACTGGGTGCGCCGGGCCCGGGGCAGCACCTTCCACCTGGCCTGCTTCTCCTGCATCTCCTGTAAGCGCCAGCTCTCCACCGGGGAGGAGTGTGGAGTGCTGGAGAATAGGGTCTTCTGCCGGCCACACTACGACATCCAACGTGCTAAGGAAAATGGTGAGTCTATATATGATGAATTACAGCAAGAATGTATGTTTAACCAGGGTCTTTCTGAGTGATGGCAAAAGGAGATTGAGTTTTAGTTTTGTTGTAGTCTTTGCTACTCACCTAGAGGGAGGCTTTGGCAGAGTTTTTGCATGACAGTTATAGAGACGATGCCCCTCTATAAGTTATGTTTGAGCTAATAATTAAGCATACTTTACCGAAAAACAAGTATTCCAGTACAATACGGTATTTAGTGTTCTATAAATATATTTTATGGGTCATGAGGAGGATGTTTCAGGATACCTGCCTCTGGTCTCTAGATTACGGTGGCTGAGAGGTGCAATCGACAATTACAAAGTGTGAAACACTTTAACAAAGCTTGAGACAAATTTACATTTTATAAAACAAATTTACATTTTATAAAACAAATTTACATTTTATAAAACAAAATTACATTAGCAAAACACTTTTACCAAAGAAAAAACGATTTAACATTAACAAATTAACAAGATGCAAAACACTTTTACAAAGCTAGAGACACATTTACAAGTGTCGAAACACTTTAACATTTCCCGAAACACTTTAACCTGTTAAGCCCGAGAGACCCCGGTACCGGGGTACTGCCGCAACATCTTGCAGGAAACAGTGTCTGAGGGCATGGTCATTTAATAAAACTATGAATGTTTTATATCCATGTAACGGGAAGAAACTCATCTAACTGATCATTTTTTTTTTTTTTTTCAAAAGAAAACCCACAATGCTAACACTGAGCCTCTGAATTAGCAACGAGCGAAAAATGCTAACACCTTACTGCACCGAAAATCACTCACAAAACCTTATTTATCTTTTCACCACATCCAACACATCTATTCACATCGTGAGGTGACACAGAATCTATTGACACCGACATTACCACTGAATTATACGTATTTGCGACATTATAAGCAAAAACGGACATCAAAACAGGTGACGCTAGGTAGCTAAAAATGCTAAAATGTTTACCTTGGCTCTGTAGTCTCTCCAAAGTGGTCTTCAATGGCATTAAAACGATAAAAACGCTGCTGAAGTTAATCCATAGGTTAATCTAATGTGTCTGTGTCCCTTTGAAATGATTTCTGATAATCCATAAGCATTAACCTGTTAAGCACCAAGCCTGTTTTTCATGTTTCAGGCTCGAAAATGACATGCCCAAAACAAATGACTACAACTTAACTTCTAAAAGGGTTATATGAATAATTTCTTTTATCAAAGCAAGGTTACATCTGTGAGTTGGATGTAGAAGTGTCAGAATCAATATAGATGTTTTTTATTTTAAAGAAAATTCAGATTTTACATAGTAAAAAACTGTAAATTATAGTGTCCGTCCAAAATTTCTTTTTTACTTATAGTGAAAACTACCCTTGGATGATGGGTTAGTAGACTAAAAGCTTTAGGAATCCAAAGTACAACATATAATAAGTACCCTGTATCAAGATTGATGCAAAACAAGTGACATTTGACCTTTTTAGAGAGGTTTAGCCAAAACCACTCTACCTCTGAGGTGATTTGGGTGAAAATTGTTTTTTTTCCATATCTCTTGCCCCCCCTTGGTCGATTTGGATGGTTGACACCTCTTTCTGACCGTTAGAGCCAATATAATCGAAGGGGGCTTCCCGCATGCAGGTTTGCACCAGAGTGAAGCGATCTCTCGCTCTGACATTTGGAAACGAAAAAGCAGTTTTATTGCTTATGGATTATCAGAAATCATTTCAAAGAGGACACAGACACATTGGATGAACCTATGGATTAACTGCAGCATCGTTTTATCGTTTTAATGCCATTGAAGACCAGTTTTGACCAAGGTAAGCCATGTTAGCGTTTCTAGCTACCTAGCTCCACATGTTCTGATGTACGCTTTCGTTTATAGCGTCGCAAATGTTTATCACTGAGTGTTGAGGTGGGCACCAATCTAGGATAAGTAATAAGGGAGTTATGAGTGAGTTTAGGTGCAGTGTTAGCTTACATTTTTTCGCTCGTGGCTAATTCAGAGGCTGAGTGTTAGCATTGTGGGTTTTTTTGAGGAAAAAATAAATAAAAAGATCAGTTAGCTGAGTTTCTTCCCGTTACATGGATATAAAACATTCATAGTTTATTAAATATTAAGATTCCTTAGACGTTGTTTCCTGCAAATGACGCGTTTATCCGCCCGGTACCGGGGGGGGCGGTGCGTAACAGGTTAAAACTGCTTTTCCGTTTCCAGATGTCAAAGCTAGAGATAGGTCCACTCTGATGCAAAATTACATGTGCGAAGCCCCCACCTTTTCTCTTCACAACGTGTGTGTGTGGGGGACTCCCCCTTCGATTATATTGGCTCTAACGGTCAGAAAGAGGTGTCAACCATCAAAATCGAGCAAGGGGGTCCAGAGATATGGAAAATCCACCCAAATGACCCCAGAAGTAGTTTCTTTTTGCTAAATCTCTCTAAAAAGGTCAAATGTCACTTGTTTTGCATCAATCTTGATACAGGGTACTTATTATATGTTGTACTTTGGATTCCTAAAGCTTTTAGTCTACTAACCCATCATCCAAGGGTGGTTTTCACTATAAGTAAAAAATAATTTTTGGACGGACACTATAATTTACAGTTTTTTACTATGTTCAATCTGAATTTTCTTTAAAATAAAAAACATCTATATTGATTCTGACTTTTCTACATCCAACTCACAGGTTTATCATTACTTTGAGAAAAAAGATTATTAATTTAACCCTTTTAGAAGGGAAGATATGGTCATTTGTTCTGGGAATGTCATTTTCGAGCCTGAGACCTGAAAAACAGGCTCAGGGCTTAACAGGTTAAAGGGGACCTATCATGCAAAATGCACTTTTGTACGTCTTTTATACATGAATATGTGTCCCCGGTGTGTCGGGGAACTCACCAAGTGTCAGAAAACACAACCCTCTCTATTTTCCTCCATACCCAAATCTCTAAAAACGGGGCTGCAACAGATCTGATAAAAACTGATCCAGATTTGAACACATTGGGCCAACCTATCAGGGGAATGTGGGGTTGGGCCACGGCCGGCCATTGCCGCTCGAAAGCGCTGGAGACGCTGTAGTACATATGCCAGGCCTGTAAGTGGCGCTGTAGTCTGCCACAAAAGCAGCGAAGAAGACTTCCCGCGCATGGTTGCCATGGTTGCCATGGTTGCCCTTCTGTTTATTCTCCGCTGTGGCTTTTTTTCTCCCTCCCCGAGGCAAGCGTTTGCTCCCGCTGCTGTAATTCAATGCAATCCCTCCCCGTCGAGGCAAGCACTGTAATTCTCTCCGGTTAGTCCACCAGCAGATGACAAACACCCACATCTCCGTCTCTTCCAAGGAACGAGGGGACCGTGCGGCAGAGTTTCAGTTTCTTTCGCCGGTCAAGATGTCCGTTAAAGTTTAAATCTTCTGGACAAAATTAGAAAAGTGCCGGTCAAAGGTCTTCTTTGTTATTTATTGAGCTTTAAAACAAATGAATAACGACTCTATATAATAATATAATAAAACACGGAGATCTATTTTTCTCCCCCTCTTCTGACTTGGGGTGAAGAACAGCAAATAGAGCGAAATGAGGCATGGCTCAAATGCATGATCTGTTTGGTATTTTGAAAACAGAAACGTATAAATATACCTTATATAGGTATGGCCCTACAATATATCATTTAAATATAGCATGATAGGTGTCCTTTAACAAACTAGAGAATCAAACCGGAAAGGGAATGCCCATCATACCAGAAGTGACGTGCAAGTGATTGACACAAACTTAAGTTTGTTTTGGCGGATAGACCGCCGGTACCTATGGACCTTTATGGTCGTTAAACAGGTTTTGTCCGTTCTGTGGAAACCACCTGGGCCAAGTGACATGGTTTTGCTCATCACGATATACTTTTCTCGTGCGCAAGAGATACGTTGTCGTGCACACGAGAAAGTTACAGGTTCGCCACGTAGGAAGTGGAGCTGTGCCTTTTACACACTAATTCTACTTTTCACAGTATTCTATTTATGGAGATGATGTCCGGTCACCAGGGCGTGTGTGTGTGAGACACTGGCATTTGTTTTCAGAAGATATTAAGATACTGTTGTCCGTTCCGGTACTGCGGTCTCTCGCGTTTGCTTGGTCAAATCAGCAGCTCTTCATTTTTGAGTGCACAATTAATCGGGCCTTTACGGTAATCGCAGAGAAGCGGCACTGACGCTAGTAGTATGCTACAAGAGTAAAATAATGCATGTTTTTTCTGCTTTATTTGCGATACAAATCATTTGTACCATAAGTTCTCAAAACTGACACTGTTTGACTCAGTCCTAGTTTGACTGCCACCAACAATAAAATGAAATACTTTTACTGTGTACTTTTTGGGTAATACTCTGTCAAACTCCCCTCCTGAGTACAATCATTCATATATTTGCTGAGGGATAAAAAGATTTGTTACCATAAGTTCTACATGAAATTGATACTGTTGGACTCAGTACTACTTGGACTACTACGACAAGTACAATCAAGTATTTTTACTCTGTACTTTTTGAGTCATACTTGGTTAAACTCCTTCCCTGAGTACAATAATTCATAGTTCATATACAATACAGGAATTATTGTACTCAGGATGGGAGTTTGACCGAGTATTAAACAAAAAGTACACGGTAAAAGTAGTTGATTGTACTTGTGCTAGTAGTACTTAGTACTGACTGAGTCCAACAGTATCAATTTCATGTAGAACCTTTTGCAAAAAATCATTTTATCCCTCAGCAGAATACATGAATTATTGTACTCGGGACAGGAGTTTGACTCAAAGTACACAGTAAAAGTACCTCATTGTATTTGTGGTAGTAGTCCAAGAAGTACCCAGTCCAACAGTACCAATTTTATTAAGAACCTATGGCTGAAAATCATTGTATCTCATCAAATATTGCAGAAGTGGCATGATTTTGTTCTCAGGAGGGGACTTTGTAATTGTCGATTGCACCTCTCAGCCACCGTGCTAGAAGTAATTTATTGATCCCAATTTGGGAAATGTTTGTGTTGCAGCAGCATCAAAAACAAGGCACTGTACATAAGAGAAATCAAGACACTAGAAATAAACAATCCAAAATATTTCTGAAGTAGAAATACAATGGCATTAAAAAGTAAAAACATATACATGTCGAAATACAAATTTCCAGTATAAAATAACAACTACTTCTGCTTTAGTACAACGGAGGGGCAGCAAGTGTTTCCAGAAACTAGCCCACCATAGTTTCATATTCATCAGAATAATTCAGACTTGATCAACCCACTGTATTATACTGTGCTTACTTGCAGTTGGAAATGTAGATTTTGATTCCAAATCATCAAGATAAATTACATTGTTACCGATCAGACACTTTTACCCAAATCAACTTACATACACTCAATAGTGGACTGTCCCCACAAGAGCAATTCCAGGGAAGTGCTGCGGCAGAATCCACATTTGAAACCAACCTATATTTCAGAATGTCAAAGGATCTGTTTGACATGCTTTGTGTCTTGTTTTAAAGAGCAACCGCAAGTGGAGGATGAGCTGTCGGTGAAAGACGAGGCCAGCTCCATGCCCCGGCCGGCTAAGAGGGCCAGGACCAGCTTCACTGTGGACCAGCTACAGGTACCAGTCTGCTTACTGCTGCGGGATTACTGGGCCATGTTTCTTTCTTACTCTGGTCCATTTGATTAACTTCCACTAAAGTGTGAGACCACCTGCATGCTTTCATTAGCAAATGCTCTGCAATACTTTTTCATATAGAGGTTTCAGAAAGAAGGAAAGGTTTCATAATAATAAGTATGACATGAGTAACCATGTCTATTCTAGGGATCGACCGATATGGCTTTTTCAAGGCCGATACCGATTATTAGTAATCAAGGAGACCAATAACCGATATTTGGAACCGATATACATTTGCAGTAAAATCAGAAAATCTTGGTGTCAAAATGTAGAATAACACAACTTCTTTGAAATTTCTTTTTATGTTTAATGAACTTTTCAACATCTTAAAACTGGGTTCCTCTCTGTGACCCAGAGTAAACTAAATGAAGTAAAAATTGAACTAAAACTTGTTCTGAACTTCTGATATTTGAGTCTCACTCATTTAGTAGTCCCAATTCAGCAGCACCAGATTGTGGTGCGGAAAGCAGAGTTGCTGCGAGGCTCCACTAGCAGCCGCCACAGTCCCAGTCGTCCCAGCGCGTCACAGTTTCTCCGCTGCAAGACGCTACCCACCCGTAGGGTCGACCCCTAGTCTATTCTCTGAAAAACAGTTAGCCAAACCCGGATGTGTTTTGCCCTCTATTGTACATTGTATTGGAACACATGTATTTGTATATTTTTATTCTGTTATCCTTTTATGTCCTCCTCATCTCTACATGTGTAGGTAATGCAAACTCAGTTTGCTAAAGATAACAACCCAGATGCCCAGACCCTCCAGATACTGGCAGAAAGTACTGGTCTCAAGCGCAGGGTCGTTCAGGTAAAGCAACGGTTACTGCCCTAAAGATAGGGCTCTGCTCAACGCAAATATTGGTGAATGCTTGTATTTCTTTCAACAACTTGATTGAGAAATTCACTCCAACAATTGTGATAAATTCTCACAATAGAGAAAGAATGACATCTTAGTGTTGGGACTCAAAGTTATCGATGGAGTCACTTTTCACCTCATGTCTCCTCATTCAGGTTTGGTTTCAGAACTGTCGAGCTCGTCAAAAGAAATACATCAACCCACATTCCTCCTCCTCAACCTTTATGGCATCCTTTGCTCCTGGTCAGCTGACGCCACCTATGATGGACGATCTGCAATACACAACCTATATTTCCCAGGATGCACCCCTCCTCACTACACTGACCTATATGGATGGTAAGAAGCATGTACACACATCACCATTACTGACGGAGATTATAAATACAGTTAGTACACAGCTAGCTCAGTGCTAAGAATATAAAATAAATTATCAATAGAAAAGCTGTGTACAGTATACTATGGCTGCCAGGTAAAACGAAAGCTAGGCCCTAACCCAGGAATCACATTTTTATAATAGTCTTAGCATTTAGAAAAGTTTGAATCTGAGATTTATTTTAGAACATCTGTCATTTGTATTTACATTATTTGTTTCAGATATAATGTATAGCCTCTTGATTAATAAATAATTGTCATTCTTTTTACCTTCCCTAGTTCAAAATCCAGACCCACTTCTGCTTCAGCCTCTCACGTCTCATTCGCTGACGCATCTACCCGTCAGCCATGCCTGAGCTACAGCCCGCCTCTCAGAAAATGGAGAAAAAATGATTGGCTGATTGGAAGATAAAGAGCAAATTGTTACTCTTTCATAAAAAAGTCCTGGGGATTGAATTACTTTGTTTTATAAACTGTCCAAAGAATCAGTTATTAAGTCAAACAATTTAAAGTTTCACTGCCTTCTATGTGAGCAAAAAATAACCTGTTATGTCAACAAATTAATTTAATGGAATCACACAGAAACAGGAGAGTTTTGACAAAATATGGTAATAAGTGAGATGAAACCTTTGTTAATATGTATATGCTGTGTTTTTCTTTGTATTTAATTTATTTGAAAATAATTGTGAGATAAGGCACTTTGTTGTAAGAAGATATAAAGCTAAGTAAGGATATGGTTTTCAGTTCAATGTTTATTTAAGGATGTGTTTGATGATAATAAGATTGTTAGTTGGGCAAGTACAAGAAAGAGAAGCGGGTTGTTTTCCTTGTAAAGACTTTGTTAGAAAAGCTCTCTGCTTTCCACTTGGAAGTGTCAAAGGCTGTTATTCTCAAAACATCCACATGTCCTATTTTTGATAAACAACATTTCTTAAGATGCTTTTCAGTAGAACATGCGGTAAACACAGATAAAAACAAAACAAAGCAATGTGTAAATATTTCCTTAGATTGGGAATGTTAGACAGAAGCCATGTATGAACTGCACACTGGGAATAGATGCTTTCACATTTGATGTTTAAGATAATCTAAATTAAAGTTCATGGCTGCAACAAAAGACTTTGTTCATATAAATCATATATATCACTGTAACTGATTGTCATTTCAAAGATGGTGTGATACAAATCTACCCATGTGGGCTGTGTAAAACTGAGCATTGTTTGAGTACCTCTGTTTGTGCGTCTGATACAACACTACTTTTCAGAACAATCTATTGTAGTTATGCTCGTCTTTTTTATTCGACAGTGATAGTCACCTAGTTACTTTGCAGATCAGTCCTAAATAAGTTAATACATAATTAGACATTTTCCCAACAGTATAATAAACTGTTTAATGAGTGTTTTACAAGCTTTAGCATTACGGTACAGTAACTGCTGCACATGTTGCATCTCATTGTCTGTCAACAATGTAGTGTGCTGCTTGGGTAGAGAGAAGTATGGATAGACTTCAGTCTGGTGTTCAGGGGCCTGACACGGTTCATCAAATGAAGACGGGTTACTTCTTTAAAGAGTTTTCTGATGATTGAAATAATGATGCTCATAACCAAAGATCATTGTTCTCTGGTGTTAAAAGTGCACGCTGATAAACGTATTCACTTCATTCATCTTTTGTTCAAAATCTAGGTTTGAGGTAAAAACTGCTATCCTAGGGTTTGTCCCACAACCCTACAGGATGGCAGATACTGCTGCTATCGAGTTTTCAACAACCAATCATATCCTGGGTTCAGAGAGAGAGGAGAGGGAGAGCAGAGGGGTAAGGAGAGACCTGGGGACCCTCTGAGTGTTTATATAATGGCGCTAGGATATCCTGCTACATGATGAAATCACTTTAGACTCTTTGTGTTGTGTTGAGTGATCATGGCAAGGGTCAAACCACTTTGGATCGAAATGATTTAAATGAAGTAAGCTGCAGTCAGATTCGGATGACAGCAAAAAAAAAAATGAAGTTGTTACTTTTGATCTTGAAACGCTCACCAACTGCATAAATGTAAATGCTAGCACAATTGTCTTTTCTTCTTTTGCAAAATGTATTGGCTGAAGCTAACAAGCAACAAATCAGATGTGTTTAAAAACTATAAAATCATCTGACTTTGTTATATATCATTCCTTTTCTAAATGTTATCAATATGAAATGCCTTTATTAATAAATGCAAACTATATATAAACTAGTACAACTGCAAAAATAGAATTAATACATTGATAGATTCTAAACTTACAATTGTTAAAATGAGAGAAGATTTACTTTCAATTTTTCCCAAGCTTTTAATACTTGTTGTCCTCAGAGTACTTATATTATCGTTCAAGTGTTCCTTTAATCTTCACTGTTTAACAATTTCCGTTTAACAAGTAAATACAGTCGCATGTAAAACACAGGAAATTGCATGAGGTCCTGTGGCTGCACTGTAGGAATAGATCTGCACATAAACCAGATCCAGCACAGATCCCCTTTCAGCAAGTGCTTGCATGTGTGTGCATGTGTTAACAGAAGATGGCGTTATTCTGCATAAATTGCAGTTAAAATTAGGATATAAATCCAAATATGTCATCGCTTTGAATGTTTAAAATCACAATTGAATTGTTTTGTGATTAAATCTTGTGATAATACAGATCCATACAGTGTGTATAGGACACTTATAATCTGATATTTCTTCTCTAAGTGTTTGCCACACACACACTTACTAAAAACACACACAACTAAAGCATAGTTTCCTGTGTCTGTGTTTTCCTTACATTGAGCCTACGAGAGCCTTTGAAGTCAGTGTTAATGTTCTCTATCTCTGTCGTCGGTCAAACAATGACAGGCACACTCGTGCATTTTCATTTCCCATCTAGGAGGAAGTTTTATATTGGTCACACTCATGACTGTCTGTCTGTGTACATGTGTGTGTGTGTGTGTCCTTTGGGTACATTTGCTGTATACTTGCGAGTAAGAGTAGAGAGGTGCTGAAAAGCAAAGAGCAACAACAATGAAGCATGCATCACCCAGAGGCTTATTCATACAAATATGGAAGTGGGAGAGGAAACCAGAATGAATGGGATGATGAAAGAAAGAGAGAGAAGGAGGCTGGTGTGAAGGAATGTGTGAGTTACTAAGTCCTATGTCAGGGGTGTCCAACCTACGGCCCGGTGGCCAACTGCGGCCCGTGGTCCCTTTTGAATTGGCCCGCAGCTAATTCTAAAAATATGGAATATGACCCACACATGAAACTTGTGCTTGTCTTATATTGTACTTCTTAAATATATTTGTACAAATATATTATACATTAATGTGTTAATAAGCCACATTTTCTAATGCAGTCTGTTGGAAAAAATACGGTTTAATACTCTGTGCCACTGTTATCTTACACCGTTTGAACTGTGCATGACCTCAGCTGCCTCCTGTCGAGACTGGAGGAGCCAAGACTTGATTCATTTGTTTATCCACAGAAAAGAAGGCATTCACAATTATTTGTTCACCTTCTGGAGCATCCAACTACCGTAAAGAGAAAACTTGCATGCGCAGGTCAGGCTGCTGTCTATTCCCACCTGGCGCTAAACCGAATTACGACTATGGGATGGTGGGAAGACTATATAAGCATGATGTGATTTTCTTATCCTTTGAGCAGCATACCTCGTGTGTGTGAGTTGAAACATATTTCTGTATGTGATTTAGCTCTGCTCCTTCTTGCAAGAATACATTGGGACCTGATTATTGATTATCAAGCCATTGTCGAGTGATAATGTTTTTAAGTTGAAAATGTTTTCTAGCAAATCATAGTTGTTAAAAAAAAAGACGTATTTTATATAGCAAGCTTGAAATATACCCTTTGGCCCTTAGTGGAAATTGTTTGGCCTTCCCTGCCCTGTCTTCACCAAAGCTCTAATAACCTCTAAAGGCCTTACAATCATGATTTGTGCTCTATATATGAAGAGAAATACTGGACAGATGCAGCCTTTGAAACACTTGTCATTCATTCCTTTTTTTATTTGAACATCTTTTAATGCTCGATTTGCCTTGTTTATGAACTACAGCATTCCTTGTTTGCAGGACTTGTCAGATTTAAGTAAAAGCATTTGGAAAACAAGATTAAAGCAGTGATGTAAGCGCTCCCATCATTGTGCAGCCATGCTTCAGGAATAAACTGAATGAGCCGTTTCATAATGAAACATTGAGAACTTTTACCTGGTTGGTAGAACTAATTGATTTACTCAAATACAATCCTAAGGAGATTGGACTGTTCATTTTGTGTTGTTGTATAAAACATAACGAACCCACTGATTAATCTTGGAGGGACCCTATACCGTTAAATTGGGAGCTGCTGACTGGATTTAACAAGCTCAATGTAAATATAGATATAAAATAATTGTAATTAGCGCCACCACGAGATACAACAGTGAAACAAGCCAAGCCCTTATTTCCTTTTGGGGTTACTCACGTCCCACCTCTTACAAACTGGCAAAACACGCCATTCACGTGTCAGATTATAAAAAAGGCCAAAGGTCACTGTGTTGGGAGAGAAATCAAGTTATTTGTTATGCACTGACTTCATCTTAAAGTGGACCTATCATGCTATATTTGAATAATATATTGTAGGGCCATACCTATATAAGGTATATTTATACGTTTTCTTTTTCAAAATACCAAACAGATCATGCATTTTAGCCATGCCTCATATCGTTCTATTTTGCTCTCCTCCACCCCTGTCTTTGCATGCGCTGCAGCTGATCACGCCCCCCTGCAAAGGAGGGGGCCGAGTTACGAGCGTCATGTTACCATGCTGTTACCATGCTGTTACCATGCTGTTACCATGCTGTTACCATGCCACGGCAACCTCTCATTCCCCTGATAGGTGGAGAGTTGGCCATATAGGCGGAGCTCCTCCGTCCTGACGTCAGAGAAATGTTAAAATCTGTATCAGTCTGTATCAGATCCGTTGCAGCCCCGTTTTTTAGAGATTTGGGTATGGAGGAAAAGAGAGAGGGTTGTGTTTTCTGACACTTGGTGAGTTCCCTGGAACACCGGGGACACATATTCATGTATAAAAGACGTACAAAAGTGCATTTTGCATGATAGGTCCCCTTTAACCTGTTTCACACCTTCCCCCCGGTACCGGGCGGATAAACGCGTCATTTGCAGGAAACAACGTCTAAGGAATCTTAATATTGAATAAAACTATGAATGTGTTATATCCATGTAACGGGAAGAAACTCAGCTAACTGATCTTTTTAATTATTTTTTTTTTAAAAAAACCCACATTGCTAGCACTCAGCCTCTGAATTAGCCTCAAGCGAAAAAAACGTAACATACTAAGGCAACTAAACTCACTCTAACTCCCTTATTACTTATCCTAGATGCACAACCAACCACTCTTTTTTGGTGTCCTGGAGACACTGAATCTACCGGTGCCCTCCTCAACACTCAGTGATAAACATTCGCGACGCTCTAAACGAAAGCGTACATCATCACATGTGGAGCTAAGAAGCTAAACACGTAAATATGGCTTACCTTGGTCAAAAGTGGTCTTCAATGGCATTAAAACGATAAAAAAACGATGCTGCAGTTAATCCATAGGTTCATCCTATGTGTCTGTGCCTTCTTTGAAATTATTTCTGATAATCCATAAGCAATACAACTGCGTTTTAGTTTCCAAACTCCAGAAGGAGACATTCCTCCAGTTTGGTTTCGTTTTCCACACGCGAAGCAACCACATTTTTTCTTTACAACGTGTCTGGGTGGGAGCCTCCCCCTTCGATTCTATTGGCTCTAACGGTCACAAGGGTATGTCAACCAACCAAATCGAGCAAGGGGGGCCAGAGATAGGTCAAATCCACCCAAATGACCCCAGATGGCCCAGTTTTTGGCTAAATCTCTCTAAAAAGGTCAAATTTCACTTGTTTTGCATCAATCTTGATACAGGGTACTTATTATATGTTGTACTTTGGATTCCTAAAGCGTTTAGTCGACTAACCCATCATCCAAGGGTAGTTTTCACTATCTGTAAAAAATAATTTTTGGACGGACACTATAATTTACAGTTTTTTACTATGTAAAATCTGAATTTTCTTTAAAATAAAAAACATTTATATTGATTCTGACACTTCTACATCCAACTCACAGGTTTATCATTACTTTGAGAACAAAGATTATTAATTTAACCCTTTTAGAAGGGAAGAT